CGACAGCCGGTGCGCTGAAGGCGGCTATCTAGGACAACACGACACGAGCACTGTATGCTAAACTTTAAATTGTAATTACCACCGGGGGTAATGTCCCCGGTGGAACATTAACTGAGTAAAATAAAGGCGTATATCTGTTAAAAAGTATTGTAGTAGAAAATAGAAATTACAAAAATGGAGAAAATAGAAATTACAAGCTTAGAAGCCTCATACCTGAGAGTCAGCGGTGAGATACTGACACTCACTGCTGACAATTTCTGTTACCTCGTGCATCTCTTCTCCTCTGGCTACCTCCAGGCTGTTGCTGCGCAGCGGTGTCAGAGAGGCAGGGTGCAACACTTTTTCACTATTTGTGAACAATTTGCATAATTAATTATAACATCCAAGCATACCTGCCTGCCCTCCTAACCTCAAAGTGTCACATCACTTTGTGTGACACACCGCTGTATTTTTGAGTGTTGGGAGTGGCTGTCGCTGCGTGGATGCTTCCGGTGGCTTCCTTCTGGTGCCAACAATATTTGCATTGAATAGTTTTTGCAGTTTTTTTAGTATTCAGAGTTGTTTGTTGGGAAACCGCTGCCGCTGTATTGCAGTGAGGCAGCGGTAAGGCACTGGAAAGAAGCATATATAATAAATAACATCAGATACCAGAAGTAAGCCTGGAGTATTATTTATTTATAAGCACGGAACCATTGAATCACAAAAATCTCTCTCACTATTTCGCAAGTGTGTTTGTGCGCGGCTGGCTCAGCTGAGGAGCCAGCAGGTCAGAGAAACGAATCTCTGCCGGGGCCGCGCTTGCTGCATCTTTACAATAGAATATTTGCAGAGACGATTAGCGTAGGAGGTGTTACCGGGAGTGACGTGGTTGCTGGATAGCTGCTGGGAGAAGTCCTCAGCCTGTGTGGACAGATCTCAGCGGTGACACAGTGACCGCTGACTCGAGCCTCTCTGAAACTGTCCTCTCTGGCTGTGCGTCCAGGTCAAGCGGTTGTGCAGCGGGAAGTGAAGCCTGCTCTCTCCTTCGTGGGGACGATCCGGTGTTACGGACACCTAGTGGACGCACGCTGGTGAGGCTCCACATTGCACAGGCAGTGACAGGCGGATCCCGCACATAACCTCTCCGGCTCGGATCTTTTTCTGCAAATATCAATTCAATCAGGCATTTATCCACTGTGCGAGCGCGCGCGTTGCGTCGGGGACGTTGGCGCGTGACGAACGGGCGACGTTAGCTCGTCGCGGCGACCCGGGTGCGACCACGTATGTCGGTTAACCGGGGCGAGTGCGATCGCCGTTCCGATACTGCGCTTCGTCGCTCGCGCGCGTATTTCACAGCTTTTCACAAGTTTTCACTATTTTCACGATGGCCGAGGGTCGCCCGGAGGTCGTGGTGATCCCGGAACATCGGGCGCGCGGACGCGCACGCGGGCGGCTCCGGAGCCTGCCTCCGAGGGTGAGCGGCGTCTCACCCGAGTCGCGGCAACGCGCGGCGGGCCACTGTCCACCAGGACAACGACCGCCACGACCACCACGCGCACAACAAGAAGCACCAGGTCCACCGCTGCCGCCACAACACTACGTCCGCCGCCGCCAACCGCGCGGTCGCGGAACACGCCGTCGCCGTCGGCGTACGTCACGGCGTCTTCAGGAAAATACGCCGTGTCCCCCTCGTACGCGGCCGTCACGAGGGCACCGGCCACAAGGACATCCTCGTCGAGAGCGACAGCCGGTGCGCCGAGGGCGGCTATCTTGGTCAACACGACACGAGCGCCGCTGCAGCCGGAAACGATACCGGTGAGTCGAGCGGGCGCGGCCACAAACTGCGCGCCTCGCGATAGAGCCGCGACTCGCGAGTCGGATCCTGCCGGCGCGTTCTCACGTGTCGGCGTGCTGCGCGACTTTTACGAGTCGCCGCCTGATTCGCGGCCGGCGAGCGTGCCTCAAGAGTGGTTCTCACCGCCGTCGGACGATGCGGATCCGAGGCGCGTCTCGCCGGCCTCGACAGAATGAAAATAATGACTTAGCACAGAGTAGAGCGAAATTCGTATAAGTTTCGTTATACTGTGTGTGAGAGAGGGATAGCTAGTTTAGTGCTTAATTAAGGGATAATTCCGGTTTTTTCGTTGTCCAGGTCTCGCGCGCGTTGCTTGCCCTGTTGACAGAATGAAAACAATAATGACTTAGTACAGAGTACGGCGAAATTCGTATAAGTTTTGCTATACTGTGTGAGAGAGATAATTAGTTTGGTGCTTAATTAGCGGTAATTAGTAAGTAATTAGCAGACGTAATTGACAGGTGGACAGTGGTCCTGTGCATGCTGGGGGAGACTGCGTCAGTGCAGGTGCGAATAGAAGTCCCGTGCCTGTCATTGTTGTGTTGTTCGGGCGGCGTGACCTCTGAGACATGCCTGTATCGTAACGGCAAATTTATATTACTTGTACACGCACCGGCGTTAATGCCGTCCGAATATCCGTGTGACTCGCACACGATAACGCGTCACTCATACACTGCTGCGTGTAGGTGAGCTAAGAGCAGCACGGAGTGGCGGAGGGAGCTAGCGGTATACGATCGTCGGACGCTTGGAGAGGGAATAGTGGTGGGAGTCGCGGCGATCTTCCATCCTCTATCGCAAACGTAAGAACGAGAGAAATAGCATTATAAGACGTCTGGACAGAAATGCCGTCCTAAAATACGTGTGACACACACTAAGAAAACGCTTGACTCACACTGTCTCGTCTATACGTGAGCAATACGCGGTGTCCCGACGA